AAAGACCCTCAGATCAAGTCCTAGGAAAGCGGCGATAACAGATGTCTAGGGAAAACAGTACAAGAAACAAATCAACCCTAAAGCTGTTATTTTATGTCCAGTTCCCAGAAAGCTGAAGAACTTGCTGAACTGGAGGTCAGACCTGAACCTCTGTGTTTAGGGTCACTGTGAAGTCTGTTTTCCATGAATTAGTCTAATCCCTTCTTAAATGCATGTGTTTTATTGGCATCCACAACATCCTGTGGCAAAGCATCTCACTTTTCAGTCATTCCTGAAAATGTCCTCCCTTTGGTTTGTTTTAAAACAGGTTAATATTGAAGTGCAATGCCCAGTCGCTTGTTTTTGCCTTCTTACAGCTGCAACTAAAATTAATTATGGAGGATGTGCGAAAACAAACAGATGAACTTAAGTAAACAGAGTGAGGAAAAAATATCAAAGAGGAAGAAAAGTAGATCTAAAGAATGAAAATCCAAGAAATACTGCCACAGTTGCTCTGATGAAAGTAGGATGGACGATTATGACGGCAGTTACCTTTCTGAGGATTCGATTTTGAACTCTGTGGGAGGTATTCAAGCACTGCAGCATTAGCTAACATTGCAAAAACTTGCATGAATGGATAAACAACTTGAGATGTTTGCTTTCAAAAACCTGAGCTTCAGAATGGTGAACCAAATCTAGCAAAAATGAGCAGAACTGATACAAGTAAACCCAACTGAACTCAAAACTTTATTTTAATTGAGGCATTTGGATGTTGTTGTGAAGTTTCATAACAGAAATATCTTTCTATGGTGATGTATACCCACAAACACACACAATATTAAAATGCAGATTCTTGCTCCACAGTGCATGTGAGCTTCTCCTGGTTATATATGATATGTGAACTTTCTTTCAGTTAGCTTTTACATTTTCCTGCAGTGTATTGGCCTGGAAGATTAGTTTCAGTTCATTCTATCAAATCTAAAGAATCTACATGTTTCAGACTTAGGTTTTTATGCTGCCCTTCAAGAGACTTACACAACAAACCATGAAGGGTTTAATTTATTTTAAGAAATGTTAGAAATTTTTTTAAATTTCTTCCTTCTCACATTTATTCCCTGGGCATAGTATAAAAACAGTACTGTATGTGTATAGGGTCATAGGTACTCACATCAACTAAAAGAGACAGTACCTGAAGTACAAATTGAGAAATCAGGATTTAAAATTTTTGGCCTTCTCTCTAACATTATATTAGCATATGTATTTGCAGTCTGTATATATATACATATATATGTGTATAAACATTTATGACTTGCTTAGCTGGGTCATACCCATGTAACCTTTTCAACATTGTATTTTCAAAGCGTCATATTAAAGCCAGTTGGCCAGCTTCACATTTCCTGCTCACAGAACTCAAGCCATCAACTTGTGCCAGATTGCAGTTAGCTAATTCAAAAAGAATTTGCAAAAGACATTACATAAACCAAGAGATGAAAATCTGAATCCTTTTTTGTTTTTGTCGTGATGCAAACAAATATGCTGCCAAAATTAAAACACATCAGAGAGATTTCATTTGTTTTCAAAGATTTGAGAGTAGCATTCATAGTAGAAGAAAGATGAGGAACACAGGTAATCAGATATTTTAGAACAACTGTTTTCTGGCTGAAAAATCATTGTGACCTTCAGGACACCCTGGCTGACTGCCTCACTGATTTGACTGGTTGTTAAGGAACTGGCAGGAAACAGGCTATTTACTGTTTCCTCAGGCACGGACCCAATCTACAAGTCACACCTGGTAACCAAGAAGCTGCTCAGCCAAACTACTGTGCATGCCTACAAGTTCTTATCATGCAAGTTTAGACACAATGCATCTCAGGGAACAATACAACAGGCACATCAGCCACCACATCTGTATTAGAGGAAAGATGGTAGCCCATCTTATTTTGAGGCCACCTGCCTCCACTAAAAGGCTGGTTTACACTTCTAATAACACTGCTAAGACACAATGATTTCAGGTCAGACTTTCCATGCTGGGCTTTTGCTTCAGGCTTCTTTTGGAAGATTTAATCCAAAATAGTTCCATAATTTCCAAGAATAAGGCTAGATATAAAGGGATTATTTTGCCCCTATTAAAATAAAAATCATGTGAAAAGCTTGAGCACTCCTATGCTTTGGAGTAGGAGAAGGAAAGTGTCAGCATTTGGTCCTTGTGCCAGAAATTGTTCTTTTTGTGAAGTCATTAGGTTTTGAAAAGCTACAATTTGTAAGAACTGGGACAAGAAGGGCAGACTGAGTGGGACATGAACAGGATTAGAGGAAAAAAAAATTGAATGCCCAGAGTCAGAAGCCAGGATTAAGATGAGGATTGGGGCAGTAGGGTGGAGGGTGTGATTCCTTGCCTATGAGACAGGTCAGATAAGATAAAGATACCTGAGTGAGGAGGCAAGAGACACATGGGCAGGTTGGAGGAGACAGAATGAGAGAGGTCAAGCTTCTTTTATGTTCCTCAAAACTGTCTCTCTGTTCAGAGCCTGAAGTGTGATCTCCGACTTGCTGGCTTCCACCACTCCTTGCTGTCAGGCAAAACATGCCCTGATACACCTCCACGGCTGCCCTACATTGAAATGAGTGTTTCTTGTCAGCTGTTTTCACTAGGTGCTAGGTGCTAGGCAGACACATCTACACAGATCACTAACCTATGTGTTTAGACAATGCCACACAATGCTCCTTCATTTCCTTCTTTTGGATTGGAAAAGAAGAAACTAACAAAAGCATGAGAAGACTTTTTAAAGTATTATGTTTGAAGAGTTTGGCATGAGTTTGCAAGGAAAAGGCAGAATCATGTTCACTGCAACTTCATTCAAGCCTGCTTGTAAATATTACAAGCAGACAACTACACCAGGTTTTCACCTTTGCCTTATGGCAAGCAGACACACACTTGAACTTTGGAAATATTTGTCTTTTTTATGCTACCTTCTCATCTGTAAACATCTCTTGATGTACATTTCCATATTAACATGTTTCAGAACCCATTTTTGTCCATTACTAGTTGAGTAAGGAAAACTCACAAAATTAATCTCCCGCCAAATAGATCATTATTTGGCTAAGAGGTGCCTCAGTTATGATCTGCTGAACATGTGCTGACTTCTCTAAAGCCCAGTAAATCTTATGTTTTTTGTTATTTGAGTAATGCCTCCTCAACAGAAACATTTTGCTACTTGTTTCTATGGGAAAGAAGGCTTTCTTTCACATATCTCAAGCACCCAGTGAAGACTCTTGAAAATTGTTAGAGACCAACAAACCCTTCTGCTGCAGAGCAGAGGGTTACTCCCCTCCTGCAGACTTTCAGGCTCAGAAGCAGCAAGGATATTCCCTTGACTTCTTTACTCTCCTCTGTTCTGCTCTCCCCATCAGTTTCTGCCTACAGACAGAATGGTAACTACAGACATGAAAGCTGCGATTCATGAGAAGAATTCTATGGCAAGCAAGCTTCTTCACAACTGTTTTAGATATACTGACTTCTAGGAAAACATAAAAATTGTTCTTCACAAATTCATATTGGAAAAAATCTTTCCATGTAAATGTCTGATGCTAAAAAACCTGCCACCTCCAAGGCTATAAACCGTTTTTAACAGTCATGCTCAGATGTCAGGACTGCTCACACAGTGCCATTACACTACACAAACTACTGAGCCTTTTCAGAAGCAATAAATATGCAAACAGAACATGGCAAAAGTAAAATATAAGTTTGCCTTTTTAACCAATACCTATCCATGATTAAACAAAAAAGAGAATAATACTTTTCTGCAAATATATTGGAATGATACTATCAGAAACTATCCTATTATACACTTGCTGGGCAGTAATAAAATTCTTTTTTTATTCTATAGCAGTTGAAAGGGAATTAGAAAATCTACTATGTTTTATGCATAAAATACATAAAATCCCATCAAATTTTTAAGGTGTCAGGTATCTGAGAGAAAACACTGGTGAACAATTAGGACTGAAATCTTCAGCATAAATTCACCCCTCAACACAGTTAGGCAACTGGTTATTGATGAACCTTTATAGTGTAGCTACTTATAAGTAATAACACTTCTTTTTCACCAAGAAAAGTTAAGCTCAGTAACTACTGCCAGTTCAAAAACTAGTTTGCAATGGGCAAAATGCTTAAGATGTTTGTCTTTAATTTAAAAATACTTGAGTTGCATGACAAGCATTCATCCATATGTTCATCACACTATCAGACTGAAAAAAAAAGCTGGATTTATCTCAGTGTCAACAGGTAGTGATCCATCTAGTCCCGCTTAGATGACTCACAGATGGTAAAAACCTATTACAGAAAACAGGGTAACCAAAGAAGTAGCCCCTACAGAAATCTGAAAAAAAGTCAATCTTTGTAAAAATAATGGAGATGAGGAATAACAATGGTTTAAGGACTTATGCAAGAAGTGATGGCAAATACTGTGTTATTAACTTGCTGAGATAACTTAGTGACATCTCCAGTGAGATGTCTCAAACTCTTCAAGTCCATTTCTTCCAAATTACACTGACTCAACCCAGCAGTTGAGTTTAGGAAAGTAGGATCAGCTCCCCATTTTTACCAGAACTTACCCATATAGACTTTTTATATTACCTAAAATCAGTGATTGAGTATGATGATGATGATGCGAACCACATAGGAAAAAAGCAAACAAAAATGAGTGAATGTGGAGCCTGTTGAGAAACCATGACACAACTGGCTCTTGCTAGAGCTCCTCTGGTGAAATCTCCAGCAATGCTGGGACTACAGCTGAGGACACCAGGGCAACACTCCCCATTCCTGATACAAAGCCGCCATATTGTGGTTCCCATGGGAGCCAGACTGAGAAGGAATATTCTACTCCCCATTGTACTGCCTGGGAAGTACACTTTGCAGGTATAGCTCACTTAGGATTAATCCCTGGATAAAACAGAACTCCAAGAAGAGAAGGCAAGGAAAATCTTCGTTCAGAATATGGCAGATTTGAAGAGTTGGCTCTTACCTTGCAAGGCATAGGCTTTTTGAAGGAGATTTCAGCTTGAGTCCAAACACCCTTTGGAGAGTCCAAGACAGACCAGATTTTCTCTTGAACAACATGATTCTCCTCAAAGATATAAACTGCAAGAGTGCCACTCATTTTGAAAAACCCATACAAGGCATAATAAAAACGCAGACAAAACTGTAAGTTTCCTGGCAGGATTGGGCCATACAGACGTCCAATGTACCCAGGCTGTGATGTAAACTTTGTGTTTGCCAACAAGTAATAACCTGCAAGATGGCACAATTATTATTTCTAATATGCTATTAGCACAGCTGATTCACTATTAAAGTAGCTTCTGTTATTGCATCAGACTTTGGTTATAAAAACAGTTTGTACTGGCAAGAAACAGATTATCACACTCTGAAAGGAAATAACAGTTTTTTCTAGAAGCATCCTGTCTACTTCTAGCTAGACTGACACATGGCTAAGTTACCAGAAATCAGCACTTAGCAAATCTACTCTGAAAAATTCCCTGGCCTGCTGGCCTCACTGGAAAACTGGCTGTTTCAAGGGTACCACTGCGAGACCAAAGAATGGCACAAGGCCTATTATTCCTGCACCAAGTATAAAGAGGTGAGACCTTAGCACAAAAGAGTAATAACCATGAATATTCTACACAGAGATATGTGAGTTTCAGAACTGATTAGCAGTCCTTTCACTATGTAACTTCACATTTCAGTTTCCCTTAAAAATGCCAACTATGTAAGCCTGGAAGAGCTAATAGCCTACCTTTCTACTATAGTAAAAGCAATGGATTAAGCTACTATTACATTTGTTATTACATTACGTTTTCTTTTTGTGGAATCAGCCCTTCAGTCGCTACAGACCAGTATAGTGAATATACTCTGATTGATGGCCCTGCATGACTATTCAATAGGTGACTCTCCCCCTTTACATGTAGGGAAGCACAGCCAGAGCACCAGATAGGACAGAACAGTGTACACTGATTTTTAATGGCAGAGAACTGCTGTGAGGCAAAGTAACCAGTGTGCCAGTGACATTACTTAACAGAGTGAACAATGATACCATGGGTTAACCTTTACATAACCTTTTATATAACATTTATATACAGTTTGACTCTTCTAGGAAAGAGCAATTTTGATTTACCAAACCCAGTAGTGTGGTCTCCTGCTCTATACACATTACGCTTCACTTTCACTCTGCTCCATCCTGGGCCATCTTTGTCATCTTGGTAAAAATTGCACAAGTCTTCCTCAAAATTGCAGCCTGCATTGGCCGGATTGAAAGAAGTTCCTAAAAATAGATACAAAAGTTCTGTTAGGAAGAGCACAGTGTAATAAGCATAGGTATTTGAAGCAAATATCTCAAAGAGTATGTCGAAGCATACTCTGATTCATCTTTCTTTACATTATAGAAAATAAGCATGTGCAAAGATGTTACACATATATAGTGCAAAGTCATGATGAAATCAAACTATGCGTGTTCTATTACAAGTGGGTCTTACATTCCTATATTTTTGCTGAAGCCAGGAAGAAACCTCCTTCACAGCGCCTTTGAAATATAAATAAGCTCCGGATATTAAGAGAAGATTCCTCTTTCAGGACATAATGCACAAAGACATTTAGAATGTGTGTTTTCATCCCTCTCCTTCATTCAAAAGATTAGGACAGAATGACTGTGTGTGCCTCTATGTGCATGGGTGTCATATTTTCATTTCAGTTTCCAAGGGGATAACTTTTGAATATCAACATTTAATACTCTCTGGAGCTTGCCTCACATATTTTAGCACTGAGGTGAAGAAAGTTGAATCATTTGTAGTGAAGTTGATTAAAAGCAAAGCTAAGACCCCCTGCCCTGCTGATGGCTCCCTCTTGACCTGCAGTATGGAATTTGTGGGTCAGGATTTGCTTTAGTCTGAAAAAAAATTCCTCTGGTGCATGGATGTTTTTAAGTAAAACATTTATACTTCTTTAAAAGCCCCATCAGTCCATTATACTAGATGCTGAGGGAAGGAGGGGCACAACCCAAAGCCATCATGCAAATATTGTCTATGTCAGGAGTCCAGACCCAGGACACACGTGACCCTTCTTCACAGAGACTAAGAGAGACTTCCCAACAAGGGCAGGGACACAGGCAATCAGCTTCAGGAGAAGTAAAGTTTTGGCTTTGGAGCGATGCCTATGGTCTTTTCAGCCACAAATAGGCCAAATCTAAGCACTGTCTGTGAGTCTTACAAGGCCTGCAGCTGTGGCCTCCTACTTCTGCTTTTCTAACTAAAGAAAAGGCAGCTGGAGCACTATCAGGTCCATGCAGCATTAAACCCATTTTCTGATTCATCCTTTTCTGAGCAAATTTAATACGCTGGTACCTTTTCCCTCAGTTTGACTAACATTGGGACTTTTGTTGACCAAAACTTCCAGGAATCATAGAATCATGGAATTTAAGGGTTGGAATGGACCTTACAGATCATCTAGTCCCAACCCCCTCTGCCATGGGCAAGGACACTTCCTCACTAGATCAGGTTGTTCAAGGCTTCATTCCCCCTGGTCTTGAACACTGCCTGGGTTTGGGCAGCTACGACATCCCTGGGCAACCTGTGCCAGTGTCTCACCACCCTTATAGTAAAAAACTTTTTTCTAATATCTAACTTAAACTTCCCCTCCTTCAGTTTGAACCCCCTAGCCCTTGTCCTATCTTTGCAGTTCCTAACAAAGAGTCCCTCTCCGGCTCCCTTGTAGGCCCTTCAGATATTGAAAAGTTGCTATGAGATCTCCAGTCTTCTCTTCTCCAGATTAAACAGCCCCAACTTCCTCAGGCTGTC